CGGACTCGATGATCTGCTCAGGTCCCTCCCGACCCTAGAAACTATGAAACTATGAATAGACCCAGCATGACTCTTCCTTGGCTCATCCCCTGCGAAGCCCGCAGGACCACTGCCCGCAGACCACAGCAGTGAACGCAGCTGCAGTAGCACAGGGGAATGCACAAGCAGCAGCTCAGGATGCAAGCTGGAGAACAAAGCCTGTTAACACTAGGCCAAAATTAGTGTAACTGGGGCATCAGAAAAGAGCAGGCAACACCCAGTAACTTATCAAAGCCATTTTACAAAGCCCTTCCCCACCTCGAGACACACAGACACCAATTAGTAGAGGCTTCTATCATGTATATGATATGTATTTAGAGGGGACACGGCTCTATCAGAGACAGGCCCCGACTATAAGGCACTACTGGGCAGAGATAGACCTTGGATCGTCCACAGCCTGCACAAAGAGTCCCTTTCCTCTCCTGCCAAAGGAGAGGCTGCTTGTACTGCTGTTCAGCCCCTGGCACAGCTGGTTTCCACCCCAGCTCCATCAAGCAGAAGCAAGAGGGTTAACTGCTGCCAATGCCCTGAGCTGTCCGGCTCCCAGCTCCGCGCTGGCTCTTGTGGATCTTCATGTGCTTGGCCAAGTGGTCGCTGCGGGTAAACTTCTTCTCGCAGGCCATGCACTGGTAGGGCTTGACCCCAGAGTGGGAGCGCTTGTGGCGGGATAGCTCGTCCGACCGGGAGAACCTGCCAGGAGAAGGGAAGCACAGTGGGTTCTTCTGGTTGCTCGCCTGGCACTAGCTGATCTCCCAGAAGAGAGCAGCTCTTAACAGAGGCCACCTCAGCCCAGCCAGGAAACAGAGATCAGCAGGGGATCTGAAGTGGATGGTCTTGGGTAAGACACTACACTGGGACTCAAAAGTTCAAGGTTTATTGCCTGCCTCTGCCACCAACTCCTTATGTGGCCCTAAGCAAGTCACTTCACCTCCCCGCTATACCATGGAGGTAGCGCTTCCTTGTGAGAACAAGATCCGTTGGCACCTGGGAGATGCTCAGATCCTACAGGGATGAGACTCAGCTCAGCAGACAGACAAGCAGCAGCAAGCACCCATAGAGAATGGCTGAAAGCATCGACGAGGCCAGAGCCATAACACATAGCACTGGCACAGCACCTCCAACCCAAGCTCAACCCGTCCCACAGGCATTAGGGAAGGCTCAGTCCTCACAGGAGGGGAAACCGAGACAGCAGAAAGTGCATCTCATGCAAAGCTGGATTTGAGCCCCTTGTCCTGACACCCACCTCCCCTCCAGTCACCAGACACACCCAGGCACTTTCCCCTTGGAGTATCCATGGGACGCATCAAGCCAAACAACCCCTGGTGCAACTCCAGCAGCTGAAAGGCAGAGTGGCCGCAGGGATGATGAATCTGGCATCTGGCACCCATTTTGCGGCCAGAAGCGAGAAGCAGCAGCAGCAGCAAGCAGTCCACCTACGTCAGGCTGGCCTGACTCAGGCCTTTGCTGTCTCTCCAGACTGTGGTCATTAGAAATAACCTATGACTCAGCCCAGTATGACACGACCCGGGGTTTCCAGGAGGGACAATCCATGGCAGCTAGGATGCTTCCCTCCTTCACCAAGTTCCCAGCCGGGAGCCTCAGAAAATGGATAGAGGCAAAAGAGGAAGAGTGCTGCACCTGTCTGCCAGACCAGAAACAAGCTATGTGGGGATGCCCTGGAGGGCCAAAGAACCAAGTTATCCCACTGTAGTACCCCTTGCTTCATTTCAGTAATGCCTCTGGGTAAAGGGCATGGCACAGCCTAATCTTACCCCTTCTGGAAACTCCTGGGGAACGGGACAAGCAGTGTTGCATCTCTGGAGTGCGACCCTGGCTCCAGCACAGACGGGCAGTGACTGAAGGACACTCGCTGCCATCTGGATCTGCTTGGGTGTCTGGGCGGAGCAGCTTTCACGCCAGCTCCCAACTCACAAGCCTTGCACCAGAGTGGCACTATTCAGCCCCACGCTGGAGGCCAGCCAAGAGGGCCATGGTGACTGACTTCCCCTCCCACGTAAAGGCAGGGAAGAGGCTTCTTACCCAGTATCCCTTCAGCCCAGGCACACAGCCTAGCACCGTGGCTCAGCTCTGACCTAGCAGCTCGACTCAGAGCAGGGCATTCCCCACCCAAACCCCCGTCTCCTGGGGTGGGCACTGGCACACCATGCCCAGGAACTCCTCTCTCATGAAAAGGCGATGGTCACTGGGAAGTAAGCCACAGCTTCTCCTCCCTGTCAGCATGCTCTGGATTTGAAACTGTGGAGAGGCCAGCAAGCCCATGAGTGAGCTTGGACTCCTCCGCTTGCTGCTCTCTGCGGAGGGCCGCAGCCTCTCCGCAAAAGCATATTAGCAAAGACTCAGCTATCAGAGCGACGAGGGCCATCTGAACGTTTGGCTACACTAATCTGCATCTCGAGCTATTTCCCATATATGGCGTGAATCAGCCGAGCCTCTCAGAAAGTCCCTTTGCCTCTCATCCAATTCCTCCTGCACCCTTTGCTCTGCACCCGCGCCAGGCACTGGTGAGCATGCGTGCATGCGCGTGCGCAGGTCTGACTGCTCCTGCCTTTCAAAGCCTCAGCACCACTGCAATCAGCAGCAAGATCCTTCGTATTTGTAAACATCAACAGAGAAGGAGCTCGAGGCAGGAATTCCCCCGCTTCTGCATCCAAGAAGCTGACCCAGAAGGCAGAAACATTGGAGCAAAGGGTTTTTCCATCTGGCTGAAACGCGCCCATAAAATGTGGAGCGAGAAACATCAGTTACAGCCCTGCTCCCTGTGCAGGACATAAAGCCCGCACCTGGGACAGTAAATGTGGTGTTTGCAAGACTGCTCTGAGTTTCTTCAGTGCCTTCTACCGGGATCCCAAGACGTTCAGCAAGAAACACCACCTTGCTTCCTAGCAGTCATGAGCAGCAAATCCCAAGGTCTCAGCTCAACACGATGAGCAGGAACTTGAGATTAGCAGCTGAGGCCACTCTACAGGAGGGAGAACAGCCTTGAGAGCAACAGCTGTGTTTGAATGTGGTTGCAGCTAGCAGAACTCTGCTCCGGCGGGTTAGGGCCGACAGCAAAGTAGGCAGAAAAACACAATGCAATACAGTAAGGGGGAAGGCAATGCAACTGCTGGGTGTATATACTGCAGGAGGGACCAGGGATGCTCCTATATCGTTGAGACTGTCCTTCATTGTGAGGGACTTTCCAATCTGCTACCTAAGAACTAGGTCTTTTTATTGTTAGCTCCACCCCATGTTGCAGTGTTGAGGCTGTAGCTGGAATATCCCCTGCAGCTCTGGGCACATCAGGAAGAGACAGATCAACACCTTGGAGGGAGAGCGGCAGATGCAATTCAGGGGTTGGGCTGCTTCAGGGAGCAAAGATTAAAATAACTAAACAGACAACACAACCACAAAGAGCGTGCGGACATAGAGGTATGCCCGCAAGTAACTGTTATCAGAGGGAAGACAGCATCAAGAGGTGGGGGTTAATAAAGGGTGGTACAAAGAAGCAAAAAGAGAGACGTGGTGATGTAGAGGAAAGGAAAAAGGCAGGTAAAAACTAGGATTTACCATCTTAAAGAGGAAGAGCTACAGAGCCAGAGACTTCATGGGAACACCACTGATAGGAAACAGAGACAAAGCAAAGCAAGCCTGGGACATAACCCTGAACTGTCCAAGGAGCAGGGGGGTTCGTTTTTTTTAATGCATCTAAGTGACTTGGGAGTCAGAGCAAGATTGTTAAGGCGTCCAAGCTGCTTCTAACACACAGAGAAGGTTTCCAAGCCATGTAAGTGACTTCAGAAAACCTTCCCGAGCATCGTAATGGGTTTTTCAGCTCCATCCCTCCCCCTCTCTCAATTCTATCATTCATTTTAAACAGGAAGTCACAGGAAAGGCACAAGCTACATCTAGTTAAAACTTTCCTGCACCACTAACAGCCAGAATCTCAGCTATGCCCCACTCAAGAGATGAAATGCCCCCGCAGAGTCAAAACAGCTGAGGGAACGAGAGACCAACTCACAGTTGGCTGGCTGGGGTTTGCTATATATTTAGTCCGGGACCCAATGTCAGAAAGGCCCTGCTAGAGGTAATGGACCCCGGCGTTACTGAATCAACGCTCCCAAGAGCTTTCTGAACTCGTCACGCATGCTTTGCACCTCCACCAAGCAGACAAGCCCAGCTATCTGAAGTTACAAGGCAGCAGCTGGTCAACAGCCTTGTAAAGAGAGCAGGAAGGTAGCAGGACGGGAAGCAGAGCTGTGTTATTTTTCATAACCGGCCCACCCTTTCACACTCGACCAAGGCTACGAGCCCCGGGATGGGAAATGTTTCCTGAAGGTTGGGCTGGGTTTCGAGGAGGCCTGAGCAAAATGGGTGCGGGCCCAGTTGTGGGTACCAAGCACCTGAGGAAAACCAGGCCATAATGCAGCACAGCTAGCGCTTCTGAAAGCAAGAGCGGGCCAGCACCTGCAACCGGGAATTACACGGCTTGGTGGCCTAGCAAGCCCTGCCTGCCTTGCTCCTTGCTCCTGCTTTTACCTCCAGTCACAGTTGGGCCACAGGCAGACGTAAGGCTTCTCTCCAGTGTGGCGCCGGAAATGTGCTTTGAGGTGGGAGCTCTTGGTGTACGTCTTGCTGCAGCCGGGGTGGGAGCACCGGTGGACACGGAGAATGGGAGAGGCAGCCTTCTGGCACTTGGGGGTGGCCTCAGCCGCTTGCACAGCCCCCAGCTCCCCCGGCCTCAGAGCCACAGGCAGGGGGGCAATTTTGATGTACTTCTGATTCAAAACGGTCCCCAGGGGCTGGGCAGCCTGAGGGAGAAGGGTCAGGCTTTGGCCCTGCACGCTGATGACCAAGTGCGCCACCTTGATGCCCCCCAAAGCCTCCTGGGGAGGGGGGCTCGCACGGTTCCCCTGGATGGGCTGGATCTGGAGGACAACAGGGATGCTCCCAAGAGCTGTCACCAGATCCGTGGCCCCGGGCACCAGCACAGCCTGGGTTGGGCTTGACGTATCCCCCTCCATGACCATCCTGGGCACGAGCTGCACCCCAGAGGTTCCCAGGTTGATCTCCGACTTGAACTCGAGCTTGCCTCCCACCGGCTGTTTCTCACCCAGCTCCTCCTTGAGGAGCTCCATCTTCTCCTTCAAGAACTCCTCGATCTCCTCCAGGGTGGGGATGAAGTTCTGGGAGAGGCTGGAACAGAAGTCAGGCAGCTTCAAGTGGGCCTCATAGACGGTGGCTTGGGGTTTCTCAGCCTCCTTCTTAAACTTGGACGGCGGCAGAGGAGCATCGTGCCCAGGGCCGATGCCATCCGGAAACAGAACAGCGGAGCCCTCTGGGACGCTGGGCACCCCCTCCTTGCAGCTCTCCAGCAGCGTGGAGGGTGGCATCTTGGTCTGAAGAGCAGCAGCAATGCTGCCTCGCTGCGGGGTGCTCAGCGAGTCCGTCAGGGAGTCGGAAGCGGGTAGCGGCTCGCTGCGACTCACAGAGACCATTTGTTGGCCAGCGTCCCCCCACCCACGTGAAGCCGAGGAACTGGCTGGGTACGTAACAAGTCAGGCAGGTGGCAGTGCAGCTGGCAGCCCCGAGGCTGGGAAATCCTTAGCCCATCTGCAAGGAAGCGATGACAAGATTATTTACCATGGCAAAAAAACCCAGGGACAATCAGATGTACCACTGAAAATTAAAGCCTCAAAAGCGGTCACCAGAAAAACTGCTCTGTTCCTCAAAAAACCCAAAAAAAACCAACAAACCCCAACCCACCAGATACTTTGCATCTAAGACAGAGTCCTGTGGTCTGCAAAGACCTGGGCTGCTGCATAGTACAGGCTTTGCATCGAACGAAGGCCTCGTTCATTCACCTGTCTAATGGATTGTTACACCTGCCCCAGCAATGCTACGCAGGGCTGAATGGGGGGGAGATGGTCGCAGAGCCATGAGGAGGAGGGGAAGGAGCCCTTCAGGAGCTACAGAGGCACGGCGCAGAGAGAGGAAGCCCAGGCTAGAGCCCGTATCTTCTCAATAAACATGGGCTGCCAGCAGAGCCGTCCAAACCAGCCATGCCAGTCCGTCCCCCACCACCTCCCCAGGCCCCCTCCTGCTGGGACAGGGGAAGTCTGAGCAGCGTCCCAGGTGTAAACAGACCCTGAGTTTATTTTTAGGGAAAAAAAAAAACAAAAGCAGCTGACATGTCACAGCCTGCCAAGGGCAAAAGACCAGCCAAAGACCCTCTGGTTGCTCGAGGTCTTTTGCAATAGTGTCTCTAGCCCATGCACAGCAGGCCTTTGTAAATCAGTGGTGGCACAGACACAATCAGCAGCGGCCAATGCCAGTTTGGTGTGAGCAGGAGATGAGAGTGGGCCATGTCAGACAGACCCCCTCAGAGCCCGACCCTGGGCTCATCCTCTGGCAGGTTCTGCTTCACCCTTCTGCTCTCATTTCACGCTCCCCTCCCTTGCTATGCTTCTCCCGCCATCTCCTCCTCTCGTGTTGCTGTCTGCGCTTGCAGCAGTTTCTCACCCTTCGAGTGCCCTGCACCTTCTGGCCCCTCCTCTGCAACGCCTGTTCTTTCAGGCTCCCAAGGCTGTTGTCCACCCCTGCGAGATGCAGCGAGACAACTGCTGCCCCTGCCTTTGCTGAGTTAATTCATGAGCTCTTCAGGGCAGAGACGTGGTTTGCGAAGAACTGACCATTGAGCTTGGGCCCTCCGATAAGATGAAGGACAGCTTAGAAGCGAGTCATGCAACTAGATGGGTGCTCTCGTGGTTAGGGCATCAGCCTGGATCTCAACACACCTGGCTTTAATTCCCTGCTCTCTAGGCCTCAATTCCCCTTGTCTGGAAGGGGGATGATACGACTGCCCTACGTCTCAGGAGGACTTTGAGAATAAGTATAAACACCAGGAGGCAGGCAGGGATTAAGGAATTACCGTAGACAGACTCTGGAGACGACAGAGACCAACACCAGCTCCCTGCCGGCTTGCAGCACGTTTGATAAAACTCACGGTGCCTTTCCACGGGGAGGAAGAGCTCGAGGCAGGGAACCATCCTCTGCCACGATGGCAGTGGCACAGGACAGCTGTTTTTCAGCACTTGTACTGGGCTTCTCAGTCAAGGATCTCACTTCTCTGAGCCCTCAGGAGCCTGTGAAGCGAGCAGTTGAGCAGACCAGGGCACAAACCCCTAACACGCAGCCCAATGCCTGGGAACAGAGCTAGGGCTACAGCCTCCCGCTCGGGGTAAGAGTGACAGTGACAAGCGGCGAAGTCTCCATCGTGCCAAAGGGGAGGCACCACAGCAGAAAACGCTCCTCGCAAAGAAAGAATAACACTGCTTAGACAAATGCAGCGAGCACATCAATCATCAGCTACTATAGTAACAGGCGATAAGGCTGTGCCCAGAGACAGGAAAGTCAAGGACTCGTGAGCAGACCCAGAAGCCAGCATGCAAATACTGCACTAAAAACAACAGGGAAATTGCCGCTTCAGGCCAAGCCCCAGGTGTCAGGGAGCCGCAAAGTGGCCTCCGAGCACTCGAGACACACGAGAACGACGGCGGTGCAGGGAGCAGAGCTCCGCGTTGCCTTCTGGCTCGAGTGCGCACACGTCCTGTCATGCAAGTCGGTGCGCTCTGCTCAGCATCCCCGTCTGGAGCACTTGTCATCAACCCCTGACCCTCGCCCCCATCCCTGTTCTTGTTTTAAGTTGCCTGAAGAACACCTGACGGCCCCTCTCACAACGGGGGCGACCGTTCCTGTGCGCGCGCACGCTCACAATCTTGCTGTGCATCAAACAGGCCTGTCCTGCAAGACACTTCACCTCACTGCAGCTCTCCGGCCTCCCACAAATCTCATCTCTTGGTGCCTCGACTCATCGTGGGGGTACCAGGGGGCCGCTCATCCTCACCCACCTCGCAGGGGTGTAGCAAAGCTCAGGGGCTGTTTCTCCTGTGCTTGGAGGTCCAAAGAGAACGGCAGACTCCTAGAGAAGTGGGGCTGGAAGGGTGCATCTAGTCCACAGGTTGCATCTAGTTCAACCCCTGCCTGAGGCAGGATCAGCCTTGTCCAAACCATCCCGGGCAAGCCATCACCTAAGCTCTACACAAGCTGCCCGTCACCCTGAGCCAACACAGATCTCGCCTGAACTGCTGCAAGGGGACCTCACCTTACTGGAGTGCCGCAAGGGGAAGCGTGCAGCTTCTGTGACGCGTCACGATGCACTCGAGAGATCCTGGGTAGAGACCTCGGCCCCTGCTGCAGAGGAAAAACCTCCCCCCGCAGTTCAGACCACCCTGGCCAGGAGGTGAAATGCCCTCCCGCCCTCAAACATGGCATTGGTCAGAGCCCACCCCCCGCCAGCCTGGCTGCAGCCTCCCTGGACCCACGGCAGGCGCTGGAGAGCCGGGTGCTGGGGAGCGCATTGCGCTGGAGCGCTACAGCCGGGCCGGGAGCGCATCACACCGGAGCGCTACAGCTCCCGCAGCCCCTCCACACGCGTCCGGCGTGCGCTGCCCCCGCCAGCCCGGCC